TTGAATAAAGTTTTGCAATAATTAACAACAAAGAAAAAAAGTTGTGACTTAACGCTAATAAGTCAAAAAGTTTTATCGGTAAATATTGTATTGGATTTGAAAAATGTATGTTTATTGAAACACTTTTCTATTAATTCTTTTAATTGGACAAATTTAGATTAATTTAAAAGTGATTAATGATGTCATTGCATTGTCTCTGTCAATAAAAATGAAATATAAACCTAGTTTACATCGTCAAAACATTGGTACGCGTATTAAGTTTGGTGCCCACCCTGATAGAAATATTTTTCTAAAAATATAACGAAATTTTGCTGAAATGTATTTGAAAATTTCTCTCAATTGACCCCATTAATTAATTTCATAAGTATTTCAGCAATTTTTCATTAAAAAGTAACAGTTTTCAGTTCAATTCAGTAAATTTCATAATGATATTATTTAAAAACTTTTTATTACTTTTCAACAGTATATTTTAACTTCCTTACATTTCATAGTATTACATTAAATTTTTATACGGAAAATTATGATTCATTTTGAAATATATTCAGTAATTTTCCAAAAACTTTTGTTTCACTTTTCATTGATTTCATAGCACTGTCAGCAAAATATTTCCATTAGAGTAGCCAATCAAAAACGTTGCAAGAAAGACAAACGTCACCCGGCAATATAGCTCTCTCTTCTTCCTAGTGGAATCAGCCCTACTTCTTCAAAACGCTTTTCAATGGCTTTGTTTACTAACGCTTGGTGCTGGTCCTAGGTTGTTTTTCAGCAAAGGACACAAGTTGACACAAATCGACACAAGTATCACTCTGTCTTTGTTCGATATTCAATGAGCAACAGAGAGAATAATACTTTTGTGTCGCTTGTGTTTTTTGGTGAAAAACTACTTTAGTAGAGCACTAAGGCCTGTTCTACAATACGTCGTATATCGGATAACTTATGGATAAACAACACTACAATTTACTCGCAAAAGATAAATTTCTAATTTTTCTTTAAATGACATACATCAACACCTTACCTAGGAATAACCTGAACAACAAACATTCCTCGCAGATCTTGCAGCAATATTATAATAGTATTCAGGTGATTTTAGAATGTGAACGGTGAACGGAGCTACAAAGTTCGAGCAGCTTAGAAGACATAACCTAATCATCATAAACTTTTCAGCTCAGCGACAAAGGGGCGAGAGGGCAAGGAGCAAGATCTATAGAGAGAAGGTTACTTCAGTAAAACCGGTTGTGAGCGAGGATAAAGGAAGGGAGGGAGCTAGAAACAGCTTGACGGCGAGGGGCGATGAAGGAAGGGGAGAGCATGATGATCTCATCAGCCAACAGTAACAGTCTGAGATAGCTTCTGCTCACAGATGACATCATCATTGCCCCTCTTGCCGCTCGTCCCTCTTTGCGTATAAGGTAACCTTCTCTCTATAGATCTTGGACAAGGAGTGGAGGAATAGAATAAAAATGGCGCAGACAAGAATACTCACGTTTATATGTTTAGTCCTAGCAGTTGCGGCGCAGGCGATAATGGCTTAATTTACACCGATTGTTTAGTACGCGTACTAAATACTAAATCTGCTTCTTCGATAGGTATAAATTGTTTAGTGTAAAATCTACACCAATCAAAGAAGCAGATTTAATACTTGGTACGCGTACTAAACAATCGGTGTAAACTAAGCCATTAGAGGATTCATACCAAGATCTATAGAGAGAAAGTTACCTCAATAAAACCGGTTGTTGGCGGGGAACAATGAAGGAAGGGGGGAGCATGATGATCTCACCGGCAAACAGTAGCTAAGGTCTGTTCTTTATAGCTGAACTGGTTACACTAGTTCAGAGTTTATCTTTGTCCTTCCAATATGAAGGGGAAAAGATAAACTTTGAACTAGTGCAACCAGTTCAGCTATAAAGAACAGACCTATAGCTTCTGTTCGCAGATGACATCATCATTGTCTCTTTTGCCGTTCGTCCCTCTTTGCGTATGAGATAACCTTCTCTCTATAGATCTTGGATTCATACTGCGTACGATGTCTAGAAATTCTAGTTAAAGATATTTTATCGTCTAGAACAGGCCTGGCCAAAAGCCTCGGCCCCCACTATCTCGCCGTCCCCACTTTTGTTTGTTTGCTATTTTTTGTTCTAAGCTTTAAAACAAAAGATAGCGAACAAACAAAAGTGGGAACGGCGAGATAGTGGGGGCCGAGTCCCCATCCAGCGGACTTTGAAGGCTGCTCGCGAGCAAGCTTTTGGCCAGGCCTGGTCTAGAAAACAAGCTTTAATATTGGACATCGGACGTCGTATGTTGGACATCGGACACAGTATGAATCTTTCATAAGGAAAGGGAAGGAGGTGTCAACCACAAAAATCTGCTAAAATACTCAACTAATTCCGAGCACTGTTCTAGAATAAATTGCAATATAATTATAGATTAAGCTTTATTTAACTTACCGTTCATAAAATTTTTTCCGTTTCTGATTTGTGATGCTGACAAATAAATGTTGACTTTTTTTATTTAATGTATCGCATGCCACACTATTAAATTGTCTGCATACTATACTAAGCTGATATAAAGTATATACATCACAGAAATTGAAAATTATTTCTAATATCTCGTTCGGAAAAATATACTTAACAGACATATTTGTCTTCTTAATTGAACGTTACCACGTGAGAATATAGATATTATAACCGGTATGTTCACTTCACTGGACGTTATACTTTTTTATTTTTAAAGTGGAATATCTTCAGCTTAAAATCTGCTATTCGACACAAACCCTCTAGATCCTATTGACTACCACGTTAAAATTCCTTAGAACTCTATTCAAC